ACATCAACCGTGCAGATTTTAAATTTCTATTGTAAAGGGACTGTCCTCTGAAATACCTGAATTGTAGCCCTAGTTGGAACTTTAGATTCAGATATTCGAATTTATGTAACGCTGAGACACTAATGTTTTTGTTGGTGATGGTATAAATCTGGGTTAAATAAAAGGAGGAAAACTATGTAGTAATTTTATCAGAAAAACACCTCCTGTAAAGAATTATCAACTCTAACCAGGAATCACAGAAATGAGGAATTGGATTGCCTGCTAGTTTCCGAGAACTGCCACGACACATCACTGCAAGAGTGGGTAGCTTAATCTATTCTCTCACTAGAAATCTGAAACCAAGCATTGGTAAGGCCAATCTCTCTCTCTAAGACCCTGGATGAACTCCTTCCTGCCCCTTCCCAGCTTTTTGTGGTCGCTAGCAGTCTCTGGCATTCTTTGGCCTGTGGATGCATCATTCCAGTCTGCTGCTGTTGGCATGTGCTGCTTTTCCTTTATGGCTCTGTCACACCTGCACGTGGGGCCCCCTTCCGTGTCCAAATTTCCTTCTCATAAGGACACCAGCCATTGGGTTAGAACCTCATTGATTATACCTGCAAAGGTTTTATTTCTAAATAAAGTCACCATCACAGAAATGGAGGGTTTGGATTTGAAGCTATCTTTTGAGGAGACATACTTCGGCAATCTCTTTGCTGTGCAAGTGTTACACAAGTAATCACCACGCCTGCACGAACTCCTGCACACCTCACTGCATGGAAGAGCCTGTTGGGACCAACTAAATTCTGCTGTTGAGCAGAACCTCGTTACTAACATGACCATATAAAGGAGCAGCCATTACCGTTCATGTGCCCAAGAAAAAAAGCCTCTACTTGGGGCTTCCTGGAGCTGAGAGTCGGAACTTTTTGGTGAAATCACTGAAGTTACTGGGATCAATTCTGGTGGAACTTGCTAGATATCTTCCCTCCAGGCCGCCAGGGGAAACTATTAGCAGGATTGTGTCTCACCAAAAGCACCCTGCGACAAAACTGTCCTAGGCACATTCAGGGAAGCTGGCCCTTGGGCGCTATTAGCCATTGTGCACTGTTGCAGCTGGCAGTTAGCGGACCCTCTGCGAAGAGGGCTGACTGGAACCAGGAGGCAAAGACTCTTTATTCTTGCATGTCTTTCCTGCTATCCACAGATGAAAAATTTTTAAAGATTTTTATTTATTTATGCATACAGATTGGGGTACAGGCCAGAGGTGCAGGGGTGGTGAGAGGATTCACCAGAGAAAGAGTGGGGAGCAGAACAGGCAGATGGATGATGTACACTGTTGAGGGAAGCAACAGGCGGGTCAGGAGAGGTCTGCTGTGCCATGTGGGTCACCTCCGGGGCCAGGGGTCGAACTTGCACTGAAAAGACTGCTGCTAGCTTGCAGTGCTGGCCACTAACTCGTTGCACCACTAGGGGGGGCCCCACAGATGAAATTTAATATGATGACAACTGACAAAGGAACTGTAAAGAGCCCAGGTCCATTTTCACACAGCAGACAGAATGAATGTGGAGGTGAGAGGTAATAACATTGTTAACTGGCACAGTAATGCGCTGTGGTTTTAGAGAGTGACTGGCAGTTTTCTTTACCTTTACCAATTCTTTCTCCAGTCCTCTCATCCTTCTTCCTCACCTGACATCCTCACTATCAGCCCTATCACTTTACCATTCAGTTCCTCCAAACTTTATCCCTGCCTATCACCCCCTGCCTCATCCCCAGAAAAGGCGAAAAGGATGAAACTGGTGACAGGCAACTTTCTAGACTGGGAGCAAAGTTAGACCACAAAAGGCCTGGCTGTCTGAGATAAAAGTTCTAGCAATTCAAAGTAGCTGACTAGAGTGGAAGAGCCCCCAGAGGCAAGCCTTGCAAGGTTCTCACCAAGGAGATTAGATTGGACAGAATGTGTTGACACCTGACTGGGCCATACTTTACAGTGGCGAGGACTGAAGCCAAGGGAACAGTACAGCTGATGGCAGTCTCGTATAGGAATCTACACTCCATTTTACAAGGGACAGACACCTCTCTAAAGCATGTAGGTGTTGAAGTTTTGTTGAATTACATGCAGATCAGAGCAGCAACCAAAAACCAAGGCTTCCTGTCATTTCCCACAGGTGGCTCTTGGTGAAGGACTATAACTGACTATCTCACCCGCCTCAACACTGTGCAGCCACAGTCCAAACCAACTTACCCTGACTGATCTGGAGCTCAGGCTAGAGGCTTCCGCAGAGAAGAGAAAGATACTGAGCAGAGAAACTTACTTGGGGACCAGAAAGGATAGAACACTTTGAGAGGAAGAAGCCATTTCTATCATCTTTTTTTTTTTTTTTTCAACTTCACCTTGAGATTTATTTATCTATAGCCCAAGACTGAATTTATCAGGCACATCCAGAAGCATCTTCACACTTGACGTTGGTCTTCCAAGTCTGTTTTTAAGATAAGTGTAACAGGGCTTGTTCCCACTTTACAAGTGAGACCACTGAGGCCAGGGACAGTTAAGCAGATGGGAGACTCAAAGTCAAAAGGGGTCCAAAGTCTCTGAAGAGTAACACTGATATGCCCTATCAGCCAGTCTCCACACCTGCCGCATTGGAGTCTGCAGAGGACCTCTTGCCACTGGGTAGTGGACATTGCCTTGCCCTAGAGTGTGTACATAGGTGTCTCTCCCTGTGTAGGCAAGTAGGCCATCATAAAGAAGGCAGAGGTGATCCCTCACAGGGCTATGAGTTCCCGTGGTTGCTGGTCTGGGCTGAGGGCCAAAATACCAGTCTGTGAGGACTTCAGTTTGATGAACTCCAGTGCCCTAGTTAGAACAGTAGGATTGGGTCCTCCCTACCAGGTTCTTAGGTCCAGGCTCGCGTTTTACTACTTTGCTTTTGATGTTAACTTCTTCAGGGGACCTAGAGACCTACAATCAGATCAGGCATGCTCTAACTTAGGCTTTTTTTTTCCCCCTTGGGACAGGGCAGCACCTCTGTGTATTTATGCAGATGAGAACTTGTAAGAATCTATCAACTTAAGAAAGTTGAGAAGAATCTCCAAATACTCATAGTTGGGCGAAGCCTCACCATACCCTGTCTCCCACCCAGGAACATCCTCAGATGCCATACAGCCATCTCTGGGGAGGGAGAGAACACTTCAAGCTGCAAGAGCTGCTGCTAGTCCCACCAGAATTCTCACCGCGGATTGCCAGGGCCTCTTGTTACAAAGAATTGCTGTAGTCCTGGGAGAGCTATCTGGACTAGCCCCGGATGAGAGTTGGGATATTTACTTTCCACACCAGCTTTCACTGAGTCTTCTCTTTCCTTAGCACCCTTTATATGCCGTTACTTTCATCACTTAGTCCCATGTCAGAGTTAGGCTGGGCTAGGTGGGACCCTCTGCACTTTGGTCTCAGGCCCAGGATTGCATGCTCCAGGCTCTCTTTCTCAAAAAGATTTTATTTATTTGTGCATACAGAACTGCGGTACAGGCCAGAGGTGTAGAGGCTGTGAGAGGATTCACCAGAGACAGAGTGGGGGGCAGAACAGGCGGATTGACTGAAACACACTGCTGAGGGGAGCAGTGGATGAGACAGGAGAGGTCTGATGCATCGTGTGGGTCAGCTCCCTGGCCAGGGATAGCTTCTAGTGCTGCGACTTACCAGGGAGCCCAGTAAGTAGAAGTTTGGCCCAGGGAATGCCCGGAAAGGAGAAGGAGTGGAGGCATGGGCTTTGGTCCGGCGGTGTGTAAGAGGGTATTACAAGCCCAGTTCTTCCCCAACAACAGCACTACTGCTGTAAAGGCTAGAGGATGCAGCCTTTCCAAGCAGCGGGGTTACACCCCTGATCCCTTACTCCTGTGGCCTTTTCACACCTCCCATCAGGCAGACCCGGCTAGATTGCTCCTGGGAACAGGAACAGAAAGAGGGAAGTGGCCCGACCCCACCGAGGTGATCTTGGTTTCCCCGCAATGGCGCCCCTATAGTGAACCCTGTGTGCGGATCGCAGAAACCCCCACTCCTGTAAGAAGTACACATCAGAACAAGTGAAGTTCAATGCCCGCAAACCCCTTCCCGCTTTGTCTAACCCAGACTCTCCGGGACCCCACGCGAACGATGGAGCACGCGAACGATGGAGCACGCGAACGATGGAGCTAGAGGCGGCACCAGTCCGGGTCTCTAGCCCACGCCACGCCCTCCCAAACTCGCCCCTGCAACGTGGGAACCTGAGCCAGGTACCCAGCCCGGCATGGCAACCGGTCCCAGAGGAGCCTGTAAGAACTGGGAGTTTCACAGATCGTGAGTACTCGCTTCACGCTTATTGGCCTAAGAACTACAGAGCCGGAAGATGCCCTTAAAAAACGTGGCGGCGTTTCAGCCACTACAGTTGCCTCAGTATCTCAAAAAACTTGGCATCGTCTTCGGTCACGGGCTGGCCTACAGAAGATGACGACATCCGGTCCTCTGCTGTTCTAGAGGACGCGCTTATCTGCCCTCAACTATAATGGCGGCGCCGCCCCATTTGGCGTCTTGCCCCTAGGGATGATGGCTGCCAGGCGGCTTCACTTAGTTTCTCACGACCCCGGAAGACGGGGACCAGCGATTGGGCGTTGCCCGAAGGTTCCCAGAAGAAGGCCCACGGCGGTTGGGTAGTGCGGGATAAGGCTGATTTTAAAGGCGCCGGAGGTGGGAGCCGTCGAAGACCCGGAATCCGCGGGAGGCGGCGGTGAGCTGCGCGCGGGGGAGGGCACCGAGCGGCTGGAGAGAGGGCGGGAGGAGGGAGGGAAGGGAACTTTTGAACCATCTGGTCCCGGGCTGGGGGGGAGGGCTGGGCGGGGACGCGAGGAGGGGGAAGGGAGGGGGTCTGTGGGCGGGACCGCCCGGGCTTGGAGTGAAGGGGCTATCTACTTGACAGTGGATCCCGGGGGATCCGGACTGGGTTGGTGATGCTTAAGTTCGAACGCTCCTGTCTTGAGTGGAGCTTTGCGGAGCCGAAGCTCCCGGGGAGAGGACGATTCGTGCGCGGCGTCTGATTGGAGGAACCGCGCTGTAGGAGTCTTTTCCGCTGGGATCCAATCTGGGGGATCTGGTGGGAGGGGGGCTGTCGGTGCGTGGGACTATTGCTTCGGAGTCCTCGGCCACTCTCTGAGAGTGGATGAGGATTGCAGAGGCATCTGGCGGAAACTGAGCCTCCCAGGACCGGGAATCCAAGCTGATCCCGGGGGGATCTCGGGGTGGAATCTTAGGGGACAAAGGCCCCAGGAGTCTCGGGCCGTGGGAGAACTGGGGCCACAGCTATCCAGGATCTAGAGGCAAATACTAGGCTGGTTGCAAGTGATCCGCTGATCGCGGTGGCATTGGGAAGACACCCGCTCTGGGCTGACGGCCGGGGGGCGCCCTTTCTGCGCTCCAGGGCTCTGGCCGGCCGCTGTGGGCTACAGGAGCCACGGGAGGACCATGAAGGGCGGAGCCCCAGGGGAGGGGCTTGCCCTCACTCCCTGCTCCTCCCGTACCCCCCCACCAGGCTGCAGCCTGGGATCCCCCAGGGACTCCCCGGAGCCGCTGCTTTCCCCATGGACTTGCCCGGGGACTCCAGGTGAGAGCACACCAGGCCAGCCTGTCTTGAGCCCAGGAAATGGGGAGCCTGGTGGCCTTACCAGGGAAACCACAGAGCCAAATGACTGGCTGAGGCCACTGTCCCTGCTTTTCTCATCCTCCAGCTCTCCTGGCCATACGCGTCTATGCCGCCAGCCCCTGGCTCGAGCTTTATGGGGAGCCAGGAGTCCCAAACGGCAGAGGCTACAGCCCCTGGGGGCCCCTTCGCCCCTGGAAAAGGCCTCTCGGAGAGTCCTGACCGTAGTGCTCGAAGATGTCATGGCTGCCCACATGGTGAGCCCCCTGAACTGAGAGACCTCCCTTCTGCCTAGGTCCCTTCTCAATACCTAAGCTGGAGCAGATCCCTAGTGAAGATAACTGAGGTCCAAACATCTCATTCTCATACTGTGACTCAGATAACCTACCTAATGCTAGACTTCTGTTTGGCTTCCACTGATTCCAATCTAGAGTTGGGCAGGGTCTCCAGGGCCCATTCCCCACTGCCACCCTGCTGGACTGGAACCACAACCCCACAGCTCTTAAGTGTGAGGAAACTCTTCTGTCTTCCTAGCCCATTCTTTATAATCCTTGGGAAGCAGGCTGAGGTCTCTGACTCTGTTGCAGAGATGAGAAAAACGGAGGTCCCGAAACAAGGAAGTCAGTGACTCACCCAAGCTTGTCCTCTCCTTTTCATTTCTCCAACAGCCTGAGATTGCCCAGGTCCCACATCAGCAACTCAGCATCATTCCATCAACTTGCTCTTGAAACCTCCTTCCCTAGGTCCCCCTTGTGCCCCAAGAGGAAACCTCCGTGCCACGGCACCACATCCACCGTCAGGATTCTGTCTGCAGCCAGCTGCCTGCCTCACCACCACGACAGGCTACATGGTCCTCACAGGACAGGTAAGCACGGCAGGATGGAAGGTAAGCAGGGATCATATCTGAACCCTTCTGATCTTCCTGTTTTCTCTCTAGGCCTCCAGACCCATTGCATTTATGCCGAGAGCCCTTGAGCCACATCCACCGGTCTCCTTCCACCCCAAGGCGACGATCAAGGACAACCCCTGGCCCAGGGGAGAGCCTTTCACAAAAGGTGGACCAGGCCCCCCAGCCCACTCTGGTGGTGATGCTGGAAGACATTGCCAGTCCCAGACCCCCAGCCAAGGTATGGGAACTTCTGGCAAAGATGTCAGGGTTTCAGCAGGTGTTGCACATTCCAATGGGGATAGAAGACGTGGGTAGGAAGATTGGGTGTGGGGTAGATTTTGCTCAGGTCAAGGAAGACAGCATTTTATGCAGAAGAAACTTCCCAAGCAAAAGCCTATGTGAAAAACCCTTTGGTTTGAATGCAGGCGGCATCCAGAAGCTGAGTTGGAGTGTGGAGAGCTAAGGAGGCCACAGAGGGCTTCCTGCCTCCTCACAAATATCCCGTTTATATCTAGGACTTTGCAGATGAGACTCATGACTTCATCGTCCCAGCTGGAAGGTGAGAAGGCTGGGGAAGGGGTTTTAAGCTGCCTGGTCACAACCTGTACACCACAGAGGCGAGAGCTGGGGACTCTGTTTACTTGTCTGGTCCTTCCTTATAGTGCCTTTGAAAGCCTTAGGGGTTTGGGGCAGTGGTGGCCCAGATGGTATCTGGACCTGGAAGCCCCAGCCTTTAACTTGCTCTTTCACCTCAGAACCAAGCCCATGATGATGGTTCACCAGCCAATGCCTCCGCCTCAAGGCCCGGAACTCCCCTTCCAACCATCTGCCCTGCCCACAGATGCTCAGGAGAGCTCACTACCAGGTAAGAACAGCTAGAGAGACGAGATTTGGGGATCTAGAAAATCCTGAGTTTAGCAGTGTGAGGCAGAGAAGCAGGGCAGGGCTTACTCCCCACCCCTCCAAGGGCAGGTGTGTGAAGGTGGGATTTCAGAGCAGTGAAACTCCAATTCTAGACTTAGGGCTTAGATCTTTTTGCAGTGGGCTCATTCCTCTGTGGGCAAAGTTTAGTGTCCGGGAGAGGGGCTGAGACTACGGAAGTGGAGCTTAGACTCCTGCAGCCGAGGAATGCCCACCTGTGACCCTCTCCTTTCCTCAGCCCCAGATCCTGTTCTGGAGCCCCCATCGACCCCACCGCCGTCCAGCCTTTTACGCCCCCGGCTCAGTCCCTGGGGCTTGGCCCCGCTCTTCCGTTCCGTCCGCTCCAAGCTGGAAAGCTTTGCTGACATCTTTCTCACGCCCAACAAAGCCCCACAACCCCCGCCCCCATCACCCCCCATGAAGTTGGAGTTGAAGATTGCCATCTCAGAGGCTGAGCAGTCTGGGGCTGCCGAGGTCACTGCCACTGTCAGTCCCCGGCCTCCTATCCACCAATGGCGGACCCAAGACAATCCCCCAGCACCTCTCCCTAAGCCCTCTCTGGGCCGAAGCCACTCCTGTCCTGACCTGGGGCCCCCTGGCCCAGATACCTGCAGCTGGCCCCCTGCTCCACCCCATCGAAGTCGGCCCCGGCCCCGGCGGCACACTGTGGGTGGTGGGGAGATGGCCCGAGCCCCGCCACCCTCTCGGCCCTGTCTCCGGAAAGAGGTCTTCCCTCTTGGAGGAATGGGAGGTTCTTCTCCTCTCGTCACATCTTGCTCGTCCACCGCATCCACTTCCTCCTTCTCTGAACCTGCAGAACCCAGGTAGTGCTCTTCATAAACCCGCCTTAAAGCCATGGGCAGTCTGGCCCCAGCTTCCTCCCCTAGTATCCAGTGGGCAGGTGATGGGGACATGGCCCTGAATGTTCTTTGTTCCTGAGCCTTGACCTTCTCTGCAGGTTGGGCTCAATAGAGGGGATGGAGCCAAGGGCCTCAGAGGATCAGGTGCTTTCAGACCCTGAGACCAAGGTAAGTGCAGAGGAGGGGAAGGGACAAGTGGCAGTCTGTGCCACACTGCACACTCACCCACCACCCATTTTTGCAGATCATGGGAAAGGTTTCTCGATTCAGAATACGCAGGACACCTGCTCGTCCTCAGCTAAACCTTACACCTATGGGGCTGCCTCGACCAATCAGGTGAGAGTCTCATGGTGCCCAGAGCCGCCTTGGCCAAACAGGTGTCACAGCAGGTCCCCTGAAGTATGTGGCTTTGTTCCCTCAGAGAGTACAGTCCGACTATAGTTTGGTCTGGATGTGTTTTGTGTGTAGGGTCTCCTGCCTCGGGCAGCACTCTTAGTCCTTGGCTTGTTCCAGAAGCTAAGTACAGCCCAGGCCTTGCTTATCCTTTCTCTAGGCCCTACTAACCCCAGGTTTCTCAGTGGTCTCTGCTCTTTGCTGCCAGGTTGAACAAGAAGGAGTTCAGCTTGGAAGAAATTTATACCAATAAGAATTATCAGTCACCTACAACCAGGAGGTGAGAAATTTAAAAGGCTTGGGGGTGAAAGAGGGAAGGCTGGAACCAGAGGGCATGCTGGTAACTAGCACCCCTCCCTGCCTGGTCCAGGACCTTTGAGACCATCTTTGAGGAACCCCGGGAGCGCAACGGGACTCTGATTTTCACCAGTTCAAGGAAGCTTCGTCGGGCTGTGGAATTTCGGGACAGCAGCCTTCCTCGATCCCGGCGGCCAACTCGAGGGGCCAGGGCTGCAGCTGGCAGGACCCTTACTCCCACCATGCCCCCCAGCCCAGATGTGGGACCCCTGCTGCAGCAACGACTGGAGGAGCTGGATGCCTCGCTTCTGGAAGAGGAGGAAGGGGATAGGGAGCAGCCCAGGTGGACCTAGGAACTCCATTTGTTTTCTATGTCCAGCCATCCTGGTGGGAGGGGGAGCCTCTGAAGCAGTTTTATTTTTTTCTCTATATTTCTAGTAAAGTTTCGATATGTTTCTGACTTTTTTGTGTGCCTCTAGCTGAGTTTGATTGGCAGTATTGAATGATGTTTCTACTTTGGCCCCCCAAAATATGGGAAAGTAGGAGGTGCCAGGAAAGGCACTGAGAACTGAGGGTTGGGGACAGGGAGGGGGGAATTTCATGATAATTCCTGAATTGCGAATGTCGTGTGAAGAGAATCTGAATCTACTCCCGAAGACACTGTGATCCTGGGCCCTGGTCAGGTTCTCTCAATTCACTTGCGTGAAGGAGAGTCCCAGAGTGGACCAAGGATCAAGATGTCCCTGAATTCCTCTAAGGTGCAGACGCCAAGGACCTGCTGCCGACTTAAAGCCTAAGAATAATCAGCAGTGATTCGCCCACCTACAGTACCTGACCTGCACACAGCGCTGTGAAAAGGAATTAAACGCATTTTATACCTAAGAAAGCAAGTCGTATGTGTCAGCACACCCACATGAAGACAGCTGAGGCCCACGGTGGCACTCCACATATTTCGTAAGCGGCATTCAAGAGCTGTGGCTCGCACAGGCTGTGGGGCGAGCTTCTCGAAACCGAATTCGTTAGGAAACGAAGTGGTCGTCGGTCCCCCTCCCCTCTTGTAAAACGGGACTAATAGAATAGTAGTACCTTCCGAGAAAGAATTCCCGTTGCCCAAGGAGTTGATGTGTGGGGACATGCCCCCCAGGCAAGTGAGGGTGTTTTTTAAAAATGATCGTTAGCACGTGGAGAGCACAGGGCGGCACTCGCTCCCTAAAATGAACGATGGAAGCTCGCGGTTTCCTTCCCGCGGGTCCGGCGCTCGCACCCGCGTGCTCCGGGCACCCCGCCTCACGGAAAGACGCTGCCCGGCTGCGAGCCGACTAGGGCCTCCCCCGGCGCGTGTACGTGAGCTAGAAGCCGGCGACGGAAGGAGAGAGTCGGCGCAACTGGCCGTCGCCCCGGCCTTCCGCGACCGCGCGCCGCCCAGCGGCCAACCGCCCCCGCCGACTCGAGCTCACGTCCCGGCTCCTCGCCCCGACGCCGGCAGAAGCGGGCCAATGAGCGCAGAGCAGGAAGAGGCGGGGCTATCTGGGAGACCGCCCCCAGCACCTACTTCTAACCAGTCCGGTCACAAGACTTGGTGAAGGGCGGAGTTAACATGACGTATGCCCAATCCAAGGCTTGAAGGCGTTCACACATTCCCCACCCCCATCCCGAGCTCGACTCCGCCCTTCGTTTTGACGCAAACTTCTCAACCTATCAACGACTAAGCCCGTGCAGGGTGCGGGTGGGGGGGAGGGGGCGGAGAGTGGGAGGAGGCAGAGAGAGGAAGGAGGCGTAGGCTGAGGAGGAAGAGGGAGGAGGGGTAGGGAAGTCCTGGTGGAGAAGAGGCCCAAGACTCCGAAGGAAACTACGGGAAGGTGCGCTGGAACTCCCCAGCTGCCCAGCGGCTGATCCGGATCCCTTAAGGCACAAGTCAAACAGACGGAGGAAAGGAGGAAGAGACTTTTATGTCGGCAGACACAGAAGCTCTACCCGTCACTCTTGCCTCACATCCGGGGCTTTGGAGGGCTGGCCCCCCGCGGCCCCGCCCCCCCCTCGAGCCTTTCATGGCGTCCGGAGGCGGAGGCTGGAAGAGCTGGGTCTGGAGGAGGCCCCTTTAAATCTCCTTAAAGGGGTGGACACTGAACTCGGCGGACTACAACGCCAACCTTAAAGGGGAAGCCGCCGAACAGAAGCTGACAAATTGAGAACTGTGCTGTTGGGAGAATTGGAACCAGTGGGGATTCTCACCGCCTCCTCCCCCCACGCAAGAAGTCCTTTAAATTCAGCTTAAAAGGGAAGTGGCCGCTTGTGGAGGACTAGAAACTAACTCCCGGGCCCTTAAAGGGGCGGCCTGCTGTTTGGACGACCCTGGACTCCTTAAAGGGGTGGCTTGTTTTAGCCGGAGGACTCGAGGCACTTTTAAAGGGGAGGTCTGCGTTTCGGGGCGAGCTTTCGGCCCCTTTTAAAGGGGTGTCCCTTCCTCTTCCTCGGGGAGACTTGTCTCGACCCCTGGCAGGGGGCGGCCACCGCACTAGGCCGGCCGGACGCCGTCGGGTCGTCTTAAAGGGGCCAGGGGAAGGAGAACTTTGAGGCCTTGCCTTAAAGGGACGGCCGCCCGGTTTTCGTCGTCTCGGCCCCACGGGGGGGGCCCTTGGGCTCGTCGCCCCGGGAGCGGCGCTGGCTCCCCGGGCCTTGGCCTTGGGGCAAGCTCGGGGCCAGCGGATCCTGCTTTAAAGGGGAAGCCGTGGCCCTTTCGCCTCTGTGCAGCAACCAGCGCCGCGCCTGCGATCCCGGGCCTGCGGACAGGCCGCTTAGGGCCCCGCCGCCTCCGGATGCGGCGCTGAGGGCGGTCGCCATGGAGACGGCAGCGGCCGCG